AGACAACATCCCGACTGAGAAGGTCTCTGGGAGTCAAAACAGGAAAGTTAAGAAATGTTTTAAATAAATGCATTTCTTCATTTTGAGTCTTTTTGTTGGCATGCAAAAAAAAAGACAATAAATGTAGTGAGCGTGATCTTGGAATCAGGCAGACATGCATTTAAATACTGGCTGCAAAGTTTGAAGCAAGCTCTCATCATTTGGAGCCTCAGTTCTTTCACCCATAGACTGGGGATAATATCAGGCATAGGCCATAGGATGTTGTAAGGACTGAACAAGGTGAAGTAGGCATAAGGCACTCAGCAGGGAGTCTGGCACATAGCACAGAGTAGAGGTAAGCAAACTATGACTTACTATTATTACCTTTATGCCAATAGGCTTCTCATTGGATTTTTTAAAGATTTTATTTATTTATTAGAGAGAGAGAGTGTGTGTGTGCATGAGTGGGAGGGAAAGGCAGAGGGAAAGAGAGATGCAAACTACCCACTGAGCAGGGAGCCAGATGCCAGGCTTGATCCCAGGACCCTAGGATCCTGACCTGAGCGGAAGGCAGATGCTTAACTGAATGAGCCACCCAGGCATCTCCTAATTGGTTTTTTAATGAGCACATATGAATAATATGAAATTATGGGGCCTGAAAGGTACTAGAAGACTATAGCAATGTGACATATAAGAATCCTTTGTTAAGCATAATTTTCTAATGCATCATGAAAAGACAAACCTTAACCTTTCCCTGTGAATATTATGAACAACTTCTGTCTAGTGGCTGTAGAAAAAAAAAAACTGGAAGCTATACATTTACCAGCCTCTCTAGGAATAAAGTGCACAGTATGCCTTATGAAGCATGTCTTCACGTGGCATTTCTTGAGTGTGTATCTCTACCTGATTCCAGAAGAATCTACATCTTGGCAGGCTCAGAATCCCAATCTCATACCAACTGAAGGAACAGTACTCTTCTGCTCTCTGTTTCTGGGTCTCTGCAACCCATGTCCTACCTGATTCTCACACAGGAGCACCAAACCTCAGGCTGGCCAGAGTGAGACCCAGGACTCAGCTGGAATTAATCAGGAAAAGATGTCAGCCAGACACTGCTGTGGCCTCTGGACTCACTGCAGAACAAAGCCAACACATAGGAAGAAAGAGGCAAGTGTCCTCATGACCGAGCGGGGGCACCTGGATTCAGCCGTGCCTGAAGACTTATCATTATGTGAACTAATCACTTCTCGTTTTTTGTTTAAACTAATTTAAGCTGCCTGTCACTTGTAGCTGAAAGGATCCTGGCAGAGTGAAATGAGAATCCCCTCAATTAGGACACTGCTGTCCACAGAAAACAAAGCTACCATTGCCTTCCTTTATTTTTAAGATTTTACTTATTTATTTTTAGAGAACACACACAAGCAAACAGAGGGGCAGAGGGAGAGAGAGAACCCCATGCAGACACCACACTGAGCATGGAGCCCAATGTGGAGCTCAATCCCATGACTCGAGATAATGATCTGAGCTGAAACCAAGAGTGGGACACCTACTGAGCCACCCAGGTGCCCCTACTGCTGCCTTCCATTAAAGTAGAGAAACAAACTCAGGGCCAGCCGAGTAGAAAGTAAAGGAGCTGAAGAGGCCAGGAGCAGGACATTAGGCCTGAAAGGCCTGCAGCTCTCAGGAGAGGCATGTCCCACCCTAAGCCTCTAAATGTAAGCTATAGGATCCCAACTGCCTGCCGGGACCCTGCTCTAGGGTTTTTCGTCAGGAAGGCATGTTCTGCAAAGAACGGGTTCCATGGTCCCATCTATGTGGGAAATGATGGAGGACTTAGAGTATGAGACTTTTATTTATTACAGAACTTCTCAAAGATCCCAGTGGGCCCCCCAAATCTCCCAAGCTGAAGGCAAGCGGCAGCCTTTCCCACATCAGTTGTCTGATGAAACCCATTTGCTACAAGCAACCTGTGCTGGAATCTGTAGAACTCTCTCTCACAGAAATGAGGCTGTTGAGCCTTGCTTGTCAAAGGGTGGCCTGTGGCCCAGCAGCATTAACCTGGGAGCTTATAAGAAATGCAGAACTTGGGGTGCCTGGGTGACTCAGTCAGTTAAGCATCCAATTCTTCATTTTGACTCAGGTCATGATCCCGGCATTGTGAGATCAAGCCCTGCTCTTGGCTCCACACTGTGTGTGGAGCCTACTTAAGATTCTCTCTCTCCCTCTCCCCTCTGCCATTTTCTTCCCACTCATGCTCTCTCTCTCTAAGAGTGGTGACCAGGTAACTCAATCAGTTAAACATCTGCCTTCGGCTCAGGTCGTAACCCCAGGATCCTGGGATTGAGCTTGCATCAGGCTCCCTGCTCAATGGGAAGTCTGCCTCTCTCTCTCCACCTGCCTCTCCCCCAGCTCATGCTCCCACTCTCTCTGTCTCCCTCCCTCTCTCTCTTTCAAATAAAGAAATAAAATCTTGCAAAGAAAAAAAAAAGAAAGAAAGAAATGCAGCACTTTAGCCCACCCACACCCCCCTCCCATGTGTAGAACAAGGACCGGCATTTTAACACGATCCCCAGGGATTTGCATGGACACCACAGACTGACACACCTGTTTCAGTGTGTTTTTCTGTCGATGAAGGAAGAGCAGAAGCTTCAGAGGTGAGGCCTGTGCGGCATGGTAGTTAAGGGCCTGGGTAGCTGGGACAGTGAGATGCATTTCTCCATATAAGGCCTATTGAAAGGGTAGCCCATTTCAGTGTCTTCACCCCCCAGACTTGGGAGCAGTTCTCTCCAAGGGGCTGGAGAGAACCAGGCCAGATTCCTGCCATTATGGGCTAGGTGGTCTTGGGCAAGTCACTCAACCTCCTAGAGCCTCATCTCCCCATCTGCAAACCAGGGAGGAGGATCTCTCCCCTGCAGGATAGCTGTGGGAACCGAGACTGCACCATGTACAAAGCCCCAGGCCTATTGGTGATGCACAGAGAGGCCCAAAAGGTTAAGGAATTAATTGGTATAAAACGAGAAGAGACACACACATCAACATGAAAGAAAGGAAGGAAAGAAGGAAGAAAAAGGGAAGGGAAGGGAAGAGGAGTAAGAGTAAAGAACTAATATTAATGCCCCATTGTCTCTGGGCCCTATTTCGTTGACAGAATTCAAGGCCCCTCAGACAAGCCCCAGCCCTTCTTCCAATTCCAGTCTGCTTTCCAGCTGTCTTGCAGTTGCACAGGTGTGTGTCCATACTTGAGACATCTCACCATGCCTGTCCTGACCAGGCCAATGAATACCTGGTACCTCTGCACAGGTTCTTCTTCCCTCTGCTAAGATTGCCAACCTGCACCTTTGCCTACTGCCAACTCATTCTTCAAATAGCCCCCAGGAGCATGGCATCAGAGCCTTGGACAGAGTGCCCCTCAGCCCATCAGTGGCCTGGAGCCCCAGGTGGGCACAGGGCCAGCTGTACCTCCAACCAGGACAGCAGACAAATGGCATTAGGGACCTTGTGGCTAAACAAATAACTCACCAAAGGACAGATGAAGGGATGATGCAGTGACAAAGCCTCCCTGAAATGCTCTCCATCAGGAATTTCTTAGTACACAGGAGCTGGCCCACCTACAGACTGCATCTGTGTCAACTCCCCCAACCCCTGGAGTCCCCAGCACCAACTGGCTTTTACTTCGGAAATTCACCTGCAGCATATAATGAGACACACCTGTGAGGCCCAGCATGGCCTCAGAGACAATGGACATAAAAAGGGCTTCCCAAGGATAACCCAACTCCTCCAAGGACATTTATAGTTGTTTGCAGCATGCCTGGGTTCTAACTAAATCCAGCCAAAGGCAGTGATTTTCCGAAGCAACAAGTGACATTTCCTGTGTCTCCATAAAAAGAACACCAGCGGTTGTGGGGCTCTGGTGTAATTGCTGGCTCTGCAGGCAGCAGGACGAGCCTAAGGACAGGGGGCTCAGGGGTCAGCAAGGCTGGGACAGCGGCCACTTGCACGGAACAGGAGTGCCCTGAGCGGCAATTAGAGCAGAACCCATGGTGGGAGGCTTCAGATGTCTGGGCAGCACTGCCAGCCTGACCACCGCACCCCCAATCCAAAATAGAAAACTGCAGTGGTTTCTGCCGCGTGCCAGGCCCTGGGGCGGCTGGACAGAGCACCACCAATGTCAGCCTCCTCCCTGAGCATCAAATCCAGGCTTCCTCTGAGGCCCACTCAGGCCAAGCCACGGTTCCTCTGGGCCCCTGGAAACAGGAAAATGTTCCAGGGATCCAGTCACACCGGGTGGCCCATGCAGTCCCAGTGGAGGACCCAGCCTCTCTCCTGTCCTTCAGAGGCTGCCCATGGACATCAGAGCCTGCATTTCCAAATGCTCCCCTTGGCTCAAAATAGAGAAAACCGACTTTTCAAATTACCAGCTGGAGTTCAACAGGAAACCACAGCATAAAAATCAGTGGCTCCAGGTCAGCCAGGGGGCAGAGGGATAACTGGGCATTTCAGCACCACTGCCTGCTCGCTGGGCTGACACCCCCTGCACACACACATCACACATGCTACAATGCCCATGGACATACACTCCGCAGATACTCTGACACCCAAAGGAGCAGAAACCTACAGATGCACACATGCACAGTACACATATTAGCAAAGGTGCACAAGTACCCGGATCGGAGTACACACCCACATTCCAAGATGTGTGTCCACGTGCAGACACACACACTGGCAGAGATGTTCACACACCTGGTTATAACAGGAAGACCTGTGTCTGGCAGGTATAAGGGAGACCACCCTCTTGCCATTTGAGCAGAGCTTTGGAGACCCTGACCCACTGCATAATCACTCCTCTCGGACCAACCGAAATAACTTGCCTTCTTGCCAACCCCTCGGTTCAGTGCCTGGTGGTCCCTACAACACAGGGGTGCAAAGGTCATCCTCAGTGCAGGACCTGGAGTCACAGGTCACCAGCTTCCAAGTCCCGGGGCAAGAGCAGTGGGCAGAAAGGAGCCAACGAAGTGAGTACTCACCAGTCCGTCGCAGTTGCTGAGCGCCACGGAGGAGGCTTCAGCCAGGCCCGCCACGTCTCCGACGTAGAGGCACGTCCCAAGCAGGGGCTCCACGCGGGTGGCGCCTGACTCGCTTTGCCACTCCACGGTGGCGCCAGGCGCCACGAGGCGGGCGTTGGGCCGCAGCCGCAGGTGCAGGTCTCGGCCGAAGACCGTGACATTGTAGAAGAGGCGGCCGCCGGGGTCCTCCTCGTGGTCTCCAGGTAAGCCCAAGCCCGGGGTCTGGACTGGGGCCGCCCTGCGGGCGCGGGCGCGTACTCCCGCCTGGGCCGACGCCGCCGACACCACGTGGGACACCAAGCGGCCCTGGGCGTCAGTGCGCACCGGCACCGCCAGGATGCGCTCCGCTCCGCGCCCCAGGGGCCGGCCTGCAACGGGAAGGGGCGTTAGACCCGCCGGGACCTCGGCGCCCAGGGGCCCAGCCGCCAAGCCCCGCATCCCCCCGCACCCCGCTCCCCGGCCCATCACCGCCGCTGCGAAGGGGAGGGCTCTCTGCCAGGCAACCCCTAGAAACTAGCCTGCACCTCCCGGCCTTCTTCCAACTGGGAAGGGGCCTGCCCCCCCGGGCGGTCCCCCTCTGGGACCCTGCCAGCCAAGCGTTCTGCCCGCTGCCCCGCCCGGGGCTGGGGCTCCCCTGGGGACGGCCCCGTCAGAGCGCCCCCGCCCCTTGAACCCACGGTCCTCGGCCGCACGCGGGCTGCTCCGAGACCAGGGCGGGTCGGCCCCTCCCCCGTGCGCCGAGGCTCTACCCCTCCGCGGCCCGCCGCCCGGGCGCCCTCGGCGCTCGCCTCCGGAGCGGCGGGGACTCGGCTCCCCCGGGCACGCGCGGCCCGCCCTGCGTGTCCAGCTCTCGGTGGGACCAAGGCTGGGCCCCCTCCCCGCGCGGCCGCAGGCAGGGAAGGGTGGAGCAGGGTCCCTCGGGGCCTCGGGGATTCCCTCCGGGGCGCCGCACAGTCCCCGAGGGCCCGAGGCGGCGCGCTCAGCACCCGGCTCCCCCCGAGCGTCCCCGGACGCGGACGCGAGCCCCGGCGCCGCCTCGCCCCGGCGCCCCAGGACCCGAGGGGCCGGCGCTGCGCTCGCTGCCGCGGGGCTTCCCCGGCCCTCCACCTCCTCGCTCCGCGTCCCGGAGCCGCGGACACGCCGAGGTTGCCCCCGGCCGGAGGCGCCCCCTGCGCGACCAACCCGGCCCCGAAGTTGGCCAACTTGGCCCCGGGCGGGGCGCGCGGAGTTTGCCCAAGTCGGGCTAGACGCCACCTGGGGAGGGGGCGGCGGGGCACGCGGGGCGGGGCCCGGCGGCGGGGGTCGGCGGCGTGGGGGCCCGGCCGCACCTACCCGGGGGGGCGGCGGCGGCGGCGAGCCGGGCGTCCGCGGGCGGCGGCGGCAGCAGGAGCGGCGGCGGCGGCGGCGGCAGCAGCAGCAGCAGCAGCAGCAGCAGCGCGGGGCAGAGCAGGCGGCGAGCGGCTCCCGCCGGCGGATCCATGGCAGCCGGACCGCAGCCGGGGCCCCGCACTCGCTGCCGGCGCGAAAGTTCCCCGCGCGCCGCCCAGCCCACATCTGGGGGCAGCTGGAGCCGCCCGCAGCTGCAGCACCGCAGGGCGCGGGGCGGAGGAGGCGAGGCGCGGAGGGGAGGGGAGGGGAGGGGAGGGGAGGGGAGGGGAGGGCCGGGGCGCGGAGGGGAGGCGGGGAGAGGGAAGGAGCGAGCGAGCGAGGGAGGCAGGAGGGAGGAGAAGGCGAGCGCGGGGAGGGCGGGGACGGCGGGCGCCTCAGCCTGCGGTGACCCGGCGCTTGTTGGCGCGGCCGCCGCCGCCGCCGCCGCCGCCGCCCCCGCCCGCCCCCCTCCTCGCGCTGCCGCCGCCGCCGCGGCGAGGCAGAGACACCCCGAGGCGGAGGCAGAGCAGCCCCGCCGGCCGGGCGCGGGGAGCCCTGCCTCCGGCCCCGATCGGGCGTGCCCCGCGCCCTGGCGGCGCACAACCTCGGAGGCAAGGCGCCTGCCGGAGCATCCCCACCCGGAGAGTCCTTGGGGCGCCCGGGTCGCACCCGTCCGCCGCGGGGCGCGGAGAGCTGCCTCACCCTCTCCGGGCGCCCTCGGGCAGGACAGGGCGCAGGGACGGGACCGGGTTGGGGAGGCCTGAGATGGAAACTCCAGAGGCTGGAAGACGCTTTTATAGGAGCGAGCGTGCACTGCAGGGAATATCCCAAATATCAACTTTTACCCTTACAGAGACATAGACGCAAGATTCCGTCCTCTCCAGGAAGTTCCTGTCCCCTCCAGCTGTCTCCCCATCCCTCTGTGGCAGCCTCTGAATACAGCCCCCTCCACCTAGAAGAGGGCCCCCTCCCTCCAGAGCTCAGTCAGGCTGCTGCCCTCACCTGCCCAGCATCCCGGAGCCTCCTGGCCTTTGCACTCCCAGGCCTGCCTCAAATAGCCCCTCTGCACTCCACCCACCTTTTCCAACTCAGCATCCAAGGCATCCCTCTACATCCTGGAGCAAGTTGGCTGTCAAAGCCCATCCCCAGATGGAATCCTTCCTCTCCAGCACAGCCTTCCCGCTGCTGCAGCCTGGATTCACTCTCCTACCTCCTGTCCCCCAGCACAGTGACTCTCCTTCCCCAGGTCCCACCCAGAAAACCCTGGTAGACGTGTGTCTGTAGGAATATCTGTGCTCTGTGTTCCCAGACCACTGCCTCATTTGCTTGGATGGTGGATACCTGTCCTTTTGGATTTTCTCAGTTGCCCTGCCTCGGACCTGTGTGGGCAGGGCTTTAGGGTCAGCCTTGGTCAAGCAGGGTCTGGTGACTCGGGCCCCTCCCTGCTGGCCAGGAAGGCCCAGTCTTATGGGGAAACACGTGACTTGCACAACTTGCTCTAGCTGTGATTTTGCATCCCTGGTTCTGTCATCTTCAGACACATGTCTATCAGACACATGTCATCTTCAGGACCTGGGTGTGAGAGCTTTGCAGCTTGAAGGCCATCTTCACCTGGAATCTTCCCTCTGTGTCACCTGAGGGTGCCCAAGACAGGATCCAGCCCCTAGGCTGGAACATTTGTTGTCAACGCTAAAAATAGTGAAATTTCACATAAGAATTTAATTTCATATTTTCCTTGAGAAATTGGAAAATGTGGCCACACTGGGACTGCATTTCTGCTTATCCACCATGAAATGGGGCATGTGCCCTTCAGGACTCTAATAGGTCTTCTTTCCCCTATTCCCAGCAGGCATCCAATTTTGTGACCTCTGATGACATATCTGGTTCCAAAGAAAGTGGATGGTGATCAGCATATGGGAAAAGAAACGACTCCAGGGCCAGGCATCCAGGAGGACTTCCTGTAAGAAGTGGCATGGGTTGAATCCTGAAGGGTACGCAAGCTAGGTACCCCAGAGTTGGGTATACCTAATTGCTGTCTTGAAACCCATGACACTCTGCCACTCATTCCTCCTGTGGTCGTCCATGTTTTCATCCTCCTCAAAAGATGAATAAGACCCAACCAACCGCCTCACCTACATCAAGGGCCATGTTCTACTATCTCACTTGCTTCTCTGCTGGGTTTATGATCATTTCCATAATGCTCCTCCTACCACCACCGTTCTTTGTACGATACTTAAGTCTTTAAAGGTTACTTTAAATCACCACCATAAATGGAAAGGCCAACATCTTACCATAATTCAAAGATAACTGCCAAAAATAAATAAGATGAAAACAAAAAAATGTTGTCAAATTCTAGATACTACTGCCTGCAAAAGGCGCTGAGGCTGTGTTGGGAAAGTGTGAGGCAGATTAACAGAAGCGGAGACATTCCCTTTGATGCAAGCAGAAAGAGAAGAGCAGAATTGGGAAGGGATGGCTCTCTTCCTTTGCAAATCGGTATTTTCCAGACAGGGACACATCCCACAAAATTATCGTGCATACTCTGATATACCAGCTCTAGGATACTTCTTGGAAAGATGGTTTGTCTCTCTGACACTCCTGAATAAGCCTTGGCAGCCTTTCCTTTCCATATCACCCCTGGCCTCCTGGGGCTTCCCTCAGCCGTGAGTGGGAGGCAAATCACTGCCCTTGACCAGCTCGTCCTTGGATCCCCACCGTGAGATCCCACAAGGCTGAGTGGAAGAATCAGGCACACATGCATTGTAATGTACTGTCAAGTCCTTCATGTAAGGGACTCATTGACTTATCCCACTTCCCTGATCACCTGTCCTCAGCTCAAAAAAGAAAAATTATTATAATAATAAAGGAGGCACCTCCTATATCCTCAAATGTTCATGCTTTCTGATCTCTCCTCTTCCTCTTCTGAAAAATGCTGCCTTAGCCCTGGTACTTGCCTCTCCCTCTGGTCCTCTCTCCATCTCCTTCAGGTGAGAAGTAAGATGCAGAAATCCCTCATGGTTCTTTGCTCAAGTATACATATTTGGTCTAGATTGCGCTCCTGAGGACAGCAGAGTCAACTCAGCCACAACCTGAGATGAGCATGCGTCACCCGTGTTTGTTTTGAATTGGGCTTGAAGTCTTTAGATCTGGTTTGTGCTCTCCTGCTTGGCACGGTCCCTGCCACTCCCACTGTCCTACACCTCCTTATGGCTCACGATTGTTACCGGCCTGGTTCCTGAAGGGAATCGTGATCTAGAACAGCCTTGAGTTGTGGGAGAGGGATGAGGACAATCCAAGGTGATGTCGGGCCCTCTGACCCCCTTAAAATCTTCCCAAGGGTGTGCGGTACAGAAATAGAGGAGGACCTTTCCTGGTCACCTCGGGTGTCACAAATCACTACAGGTGTCTCGATGCAGGAATGCTAAGAAAGGAGAATCCCTTCCTCTCTGTCTGCCCCAACTCTGGATGGGAGGGGTGCCCTGCCTTGTTCTGAAGACTTGAGGCAGGCCTCTCCGACTTACCTCTAGCTTCCAGGCCACATGTGCCAGCACAGACTTCATTAGCACTATTCCTGTCCCCCAGTGGCCACACAGAAACCAGAAGTTCTTCTGCCCTTTGACGAGGTCACCGTCCTTGGCAGGCCCTGCCCGCGCTGCAGGCAATAAGCAGATGGAAGGAATGAGGAGATGGAGGTTTCACCGTCCTTCCTCCCCATGAGCAAGCTCCTGGGGGTTAGGGGGAGGGACCTAGACTCTTCCAGTCTCCTGGGATCCCGATGCAGAACGTAACAAACCATGAGGTCTTAGTGACCTTGTCAAGGGGCCTCTGAAGGCAGTAACTCTGTCCCCTTCCACTGATGGCAAGCAGCGGGTGCTATGGCCCCGTCAGATGCACTAGCAGAGTTCTGGCCAGGAGCGGCCTGGGTAAGCAATCTGTCTGGGGAATGCTGACGGAACAGATCGTAGAGTCCGGGTGGCCTTTGGGAAGCATGGTTCTTGCTGTTTCTTGAGCACACACCACAGACACACACACACACTGACAGGGAGCCGTGTCAGGCAAAAGAGGAGACAAGGGCAGCAATTTTGTCCATTGTCACATTCCACACAGAGGTGTCCTACCACCGCTGTGATCAGTTCTGCCTGGAAGGAAAAGACAAAAGTATTTACAGTTTGAAGGCTTGGGGATCCAGGCTCAATCAACACTTCTAAATGGAAACACAGCTGGAAGCTCAGCCTCAATCCAAGGATCCAGGGAAAAATAAATGCTCAGTGCCTCCTTGTGATTGCCTACTTGCATATATGCTCGACCTTGCAAAGAGGCGACGAGGCCCAAGGATTTTCAAGGCAATGTCTGGCTGGTGCAGGTGGTGATGTCCCAGGCCTACTTTGATCAGGATCTAGACCTCTGTGTCTGGCTGTTTGGTCAAGCTGTCCGGTCTGAGAAAGGACTCTGGGTCCCTTAAGATGCCCCTAGCTCTAAGTAACAAAGCCAGCTTCAAATGTAAGGAATGCATGATCGCACGTATCAGATCTGCAGGGATAGTGGCTCCAGAGCTCAACCTGCCACCCGCATATCATCTTTGCTCCTGACCACGTAGAAGGATGGCCAAACCACAAGCTGGTGCCCTGCCCTCTCTGAGAAGGGCTAGCTTAACCCTCCTCTGGTCTGAGGGCCAAGGCTGGGTCATGTGCCTATTGCTGAACTGGCTACTGACAAGGGGCCAGGGGTGTTACTAGCACAAGCCTGAATTGACCATCTGAGGCACAATGCATGTTAGAGGTCAGCCTGATGCCCCGAGCACCTTGCTTGCCTTTATTTCCAAATGAGAGCATGGCACAGTCCCAAGCTCACCCTTGCCGGGAGAAAGAAGGCATTTCCTCATGTGACTTTATATCCCATTTCCAGACCAACCATCTGTAGAGCATTAATTTCTTTACATATAAATCCTGTATGTAACTTGTGAAGGGCACAATCCTATGGTGGGGTTTTGTGTTGCAATCTTTTGTGAGCCTAACTGGGTATTTCCTCACTTATAATCCAGGGAATGTCAACCAGTGGCCCTACCCAATGCCTTGCTGGGCCCCAGGATCCCTGGCCTCCCAGGCTCTATTATCTTTAGGTCACACTCTCTTTGTGTCCAATTTCTTCTACCCTATTTGCCCAACTCTGCACTATTCACAACATCCAGAGTGTGGGCATGCAAAAGGCCAGAGCTTTCAGCTGGGGCTGAAGTGGTGCTAACCATGGGATCCTAAGGC